TGATACTCTGCATCACTCCAACAGTGTGGCTCACCGAGTTGTTACGGATGGAAGACTCTGAGGGACCGCCCGAGGTACCGGCTGCATCCGACGCAAGCGAACTGCCTCCTTTCAATTTTATTATGTGAGTGAGAGCGTGTTCGACTGTGCGTCTCATGACAGGATCGGTTTCCTCTGGGGACGCTTATGGGTCGGCAAGAGGGGAGTCAAAAGCCACAGGGGAGCCCGGACTCAAGGGTAAATTCCTGAGTCTGGTACCGCATGACGAACCCTGGCTTGCTGAAAGTAGGGGGAGGCGCAATGTGTGCCCTAACCCAACAAGAGACATGTTTTGAATGCAAGCAATGCTTTTGTGTTTCTTTCTGCTTGCCGACTGAGGGGCCGCAGTGGAGACTAACCTAACCCTAACCGCTGCATCTGATCTACCCGGCCTGCCAGGGACGCAATTTGCCCCAACAGTCCTTCGACCAAAGCCCTCATCTCAGAGACAAACCCATGTCATATCTTTCATCAGACGAAAAACACTTTGATCTAGCCGCGCCACCTTACCAGACAGCTCTAAATCAAAGTGGATATGATTATCACCTCAAATTCGAACCCCCCGCGGAAAGAAGAAGAACAAACAGACCTCGTAACAACATCCTCTGGTTTAACCCTCCCTTTAGTAAAAATGTCACTAACAGCGTCGGGAGAAGATTCCTCACCCTGGTTGATAAGTGTTTCCAACAGGGAAACAAACTCAGGAAAATTTTCAGCCGTAAAACACCATCAAATTGAGCTACAGTTGTACGAATAACGTGAAGCAAATAATCTGCAATCAAAACAAACAACAGCTTACAGCGGCCAACACCAATACACCCAGTACCGAGATCAACAGATTATGTAACTGCCGTAAGAAATCTGAATGCCCCTTAGACGGAAATTGTTTACAATCGGCCTTGGTTTACCAAGCTAATATCAGACGGCAAGACAACAACAAGTGTGAAACATATGTGGGACTAACAGGAAATGAATTTAAAACCCGGTACAGAAACCACACTGCATCGCTACGCAACCAATCATTGAGAAACGCAACAGAGCTCAGTAAATACGCTTGGTCATTAAAAGACAATAACATCGATTACGACATCAAATGGAGAGTGTTATCGCGTGCTGCACCATACAATACTTCAAGCAAACGTTACAACTTATGTATTAGAGAGAAATATATTATAATTTTCCAACCACACTACTGTAGTTTAAATAAAAGAAATGAGCTTTTTTCTTCCTGTAGACACAGAGCCAAATCGTTGCTATGCAACAACTAGTTTTAATACCGTAAACACACTCCATTGTTATGCAAATCTGTAGCGCTTATAACGTAGTCTGTTTTGGTGGTTTATTTAATCAAGTCTCAACTCCTGATGAGTGAGGTACTCCATGTACCTTACGAAACAGTACTGTAGAGTGAACTTTACTCATGTAGTCATGTCTTAATTTCTCTGTCCACGTATGTATATATATATATATATATATATTTATATATACTGGGGGTATATATATATAACAATTTCCAAGAAACACACTTACATGTAGCTCTACAGAATTTCTGTAATTTATATAATATATTGATTAAACCAAACCAGGCAGAAAAGATTATTACACCTATACTAAGGTTTGAATTAGAAGCAGTATCATGCAGTGTTTTCACTAAATTGTCCCTACTTTATTGCCACTCTGGATTGAAAGAGGGGAAAATGCATCTCAGACTCTTGTTCTTGTTCGTACTACTGACATGCATCATTGCTACCAAATTATTCATTAATACCCATCTTTTTAATGTCATCATCTCATATTCATAATCTATTGTGCCAGTTGAATTTATTAAATTGAATTGATAATGTATTATTTGTATTGAGTTTGTTTTGTCATTTATCATTTCCAGACTTGCTCAGACAAGGTCCAATCCTGGATTACTTGAGACGAATGTGAAAAGTAATGGTTTCAATAGGACCAATAATTCGTCCAGTGGAAACTCATCTGGAAACGCATCAAATGAAGAACTATTATGTCTATAAGCGAGTACCGTATTTGTCTTCAATTAGGCGCCACTTTGTTACACTTTCATGTCATGGTGGCGCTTATTTGTGGTTAAATTTGAGCAACTTTGTTTCAAATGGCGCTTATTTCAAGCACTTCAAGTTCTAGTACCGGTAATTGTGTTCCAAGCCATTGTTTTTGCTCCATTCTGGTGATAGATTATTGACAATATTTTACATTACAGTCTGACGCTTAGTCACTGTAGCCTTTATTTTAAATACTGAGTAAATGACCCGTTTTCAGACAGTTTAGAAAGTTATACAAAAAATATCATTCTTTAGAAAACATTCACAGTTTGCCGTACAATCAACAGAAAAATAAAACAAACACAAATTCAACGCTTAGTAGTCAATGATCACGGTAGCAAAATCCGGTCATGCTGCATTCCACGGTTACGATTATTACTCAGTAGTAGTTATAATAACGTACAAAAATAAAATGCAAGTAAAATTCAACTTAA